TTGCTGGCCGTCGATAGCCACTTCAATCTCTGGTACTCGCCCTGTTCTCTCGGGACGCCCATGCTGAAATCGGAAGATATATTATTAGGCGAATTCATGGCTTTCTCTGTTTTGGGAGATTGCCTTTTATTTTCGGATGCGATTTGGAAGAACCCCGTCAAAGATTTATGGAAAGTGATGTGGCTGAAAATTGTGTTGATTGGGCTGCAAGTAACAAGAATAAGCTACGCGCCTGGAAACTCAACGGTTGATGCCAAATTTATATGTTTTTTACTTACCATAAATATTTTAACTTTAGTATATTTCCTATTAGGTAAAGGAAACCGCTCAATTAATTAAAACATACTCAATTAACAAATTTGTGTGGTACACGTCGACATGTCAAAACGGACCGTCGGAGACGGTAGACCCGTAGCCTGCCAAGACACTTTTTTTTTATGGAGCGGGGCTGGCCTAGGAAATGGCAGCCCATCCTACCCTACAGGCGAGCCAAGTCTGTCCAATATTAAAAAAATAAATAAATAAATAATTACAAATATGCTATAAAACTAAAGGGAAAAAGAGATAATAGAAAAAAATATTTTTCTTAGGTACGATTTTCATTATAACTGAAACTCATATTTATTTGAAATTTCTGATGGCACAACTTGCAATAATACATATACATCAAGAGCAAAAAAGTCATTCACATACATTGTTTTATTATTTTATAATACTCCCCCTTGAATTACTATTTTCTAAACATATTTTAACTGATTTGAACAAAGCCAAATCTGAATATCTTGAAGTGTATCTTGTAGCCATCAGTACTGGTGCTTCAGTATATCAGGAAAAACCCGGTGGGACAAAACCTGATCATCTTGAAATCATAATATTGCTTCCTCAGAAAAACCCGGTGGGACAAAACCTGAGCACTGTGGAAGCACAACATTGCTCCCCCTCAAATAGATCATCTTTAATGGAGTGTCCACGTGCTGCCTCGTTAAAACCTTGTCAAGAAAACTCACTGGGAAAAAACTTGATCAAAGGAAAAAGAGTACAACTACTCAAGTCTTTTCTCATCATCATGAGGAATCATATCAATTATCCAGTAGTCATCATTATACCATGAATATGCCTCGTTAAGACCTTATTAGAAAAAACTCAGTGGGACAAAATCCTAATGAAGGAAAAAGAGTACACTATTCATGTGAATACGTCATCCTTGTTGCCTCATTAAAAACCTACCCAATGGGACAAAACCTCAGCCAAGGGAAAAAGAGTACAACGCGTATCTCATATATTCATTATAACAATCTTTCTATAATTTGTATGAGTATCATATAGATTTATTCATTCATATTTTCATATACTGATGGTATTCATTATGTCATATCATGCTTTGTGCAACTTTCAGTCTGAAACTAATCATTCTCATCAATCGATTTCAATGGTCTTACTTCCAATAGTTTCCAATATTCTCATTTGAGCTGATTTCATTCTCATCAATATCATTTATATAGCTCTATTCATTTGTTTGTGTCGACACTTATTCATTTCCAATACTCCCCCGTAATATATTGCGATATCTCATTATCAATTGATTTCATCAACAGTATATATATGCCTCCTTTCATCACTTATTTGGGGAATCTCAATTTGCACAATACCAACGCTCTCAGCGTATTATTTCATCTTTATATCATTTCATATATTTCACCACCATCAGTATCATTCAGTTTATGATTTGCACACTTTCAGGGTGACACGTATATCATTCATTGATTCTCCCTC